AGTCCTGTCGCGGACGAGAAATGGGGCTTCCTTTTCCGATGCATTTAAGATTATTAATATTTTATTAAAGTGTCTTTCATTCGAATTTAGAGTGAAACACGAACCGTCTACCAGTTGTCCGCGTGGCCCAATGGATAAGGCGTCTGACTTCGAATCAGAAGATTGCAGGTTCGAGTCCTGTCGCGGACGATAATTGGGGTTTTCTTTTTCGATGAATTCCCGACTATTAATATTTTATTAGAGTGCATTTCATTCGAATTTAGTGTGAAAAACGAGTGTTTCCTTCAGGTGTCCGCGTGGCCCAATGGATAAGGCGTCTGACTTCGAATCAGAAGATTGCAGGTTCGAGTCCTGTCGCGGCCGAGAAGTAGGGTGCCCTTCTCCGATGCGTTCCCGACAATTAATATTTTATTAAAGTGTCTTTCATTTGAATTTAGTGTGAAACACGAAATTTTACGCGAGGTGTCCGCGTGGCCCAATGGATAAGGCGTCTGACTTCGAATCAGAAGATTGCAGGTCCGAGTCCTGTCGCGGCGAAAATTTGGGCTTCCATTTTCGATGCATTTTCCACCCAACGATGATATTGAAGATTTATTAAATGAATGGGGTGGTCTTAATTTGTTAATTGGTGATTTTAACTGTAGATCGAGTAGCTGGGGCTATGACTCCGACAATTATAGAGGTAGAAAATTTATGGAGTTCATAACCTCCAGCAACCTGCACGTTTGCAACATATCTGAATATGGTCCTACATTTCAATCCACTATAAACGTGGGGTTCTCCGATCTCACACTTATCAGCTCATCTATTGCAAATTATGTTAAAAATTGGGGGGTCCTTGACACTGAGACCCATAGCGACCATAAATACATTTATTTTAATATAGAAATTGATAATATTCCAGAAACTGATTTTTATTTTAAATCTAAATATGGCCAAAACAAATTTATGAAGTATATTAAAAGGCACCTTGGCCCATTGAGGGAAAAACTTAAGCTTGCAAATAATACTGTACATTTGAATGATTTATTTAATGAATTTACCTCAATGGTGCAGAAGGGTGCCTTTAAGACTTTAAAGAAAAAGCCTAAAAAACTTGCGAAAAAGTTCAGTTTCTGGAATGAAGACCTCCGTTTAACTAGAAATAAAGTCAATAAGCTTTTTAAGATCTATCGTAAACACAAAGCCGAAAACTCGAATTTTGACTTAATCCAGAGCTCGGGTAATGCCTATAGGAGGGAGCGGGCAGTTTTTAAAAAACTTTTATTGAAAACTAAAAGGTAGGCCTGGGAGGATTTCTGTGTCAATTATAACGATCGATATGGGTCCCTGTTCAAACTTGTTTTTAACAAGGGCACTTGTGAAAATTCTATTGGGGTCAGCTCCAATAATAACCCCAACAATTCTATTGTGGACAGAATCACCCATATCAAGGACTTTTTCTTCCAGGGCAAATCTCCAGATGACAACTTTGTTTTTAATCCCATTGTCGGCCCGATTAGCTCCCTCACTATTGAAGATCTTGAAATTACTTTTGGTAACCTGAAAGGTGGGAAGGCTCCGGGCCTGGATAGAATCGATTATAGGATGTGGAGAGCAGTTTGTATTGCTGATAAGATTTTTATGCTGGATCTTTTTAATCGCTGTTTCATTCTTAACTATTTTCCAAGATGTTTGAGGAACGCCAGGGTCTTCTTCCTACTAAAAGACGGGAAATACCCTGGCTTGTGTAATTCGTACCGACCGGTTTGCCTGTTACCTACCTTAGGCAAAGTTGTCGAGAGGCTGTTTTTAATTAAATTAAACGGATGGCTTTATCAACATAATATTATTCATGACAATCAATACGGATTCCGTGAGGGCAGGAGCTGTGATCTAGCCATCCATACTTTAGTTGAGACAATGAAATTTAAAATGAATACTGATCACCTCGCCCTCGTCTCATTAGACCTTAAGTCGGCCTTCGACAACATGAACTGGTCGGTACTTTTTAAAATTTTTAATGATATTGGCCTGCCTACTTTTTATAGGAATTTTATTTTTTACTACCTGTGTGATCGAACTGTTTTATATATTAATGACGTTTGTGAAACCACTAGACATTGTTTTAAGGGTTGTCCGCAGGGGTCAGTGGTCGCACCTGCTATTTGGAATATTTATATTAATACTATGTTATGCAATAACAGTACTACTTTTTATACTCAAGCCTTTGCCGACGACCTGGCACTTGTGGTCAGTGGTAGGAGGGCTAGAGATCTTGAAAGTAATACCAACTCAGCCCTCGAACAAATCGCCCTCAACCTATCCGACCTCAAGCTGAAACTTTCTGCAGAGAAGTGCCAGGCGTTGGTTGTTCGAAGCATCAGTTCATAGAAGTATTCTAAAAGAAACTCCACGGTCCTGAACAGGAAACCCACTTTTAAAATAAATGGTTACTCCATAAAAATTTCCGACAGTTTAAAAATTCTGCTGATAGTTCTAGACAACAAGTTCACATGGTTCAACCACATTTTATCGCTACACAATAAAGTATTGTTTTTAACTTGTAATTTTAACCGTATTGTCAAAACTAAGTGGAGTCTCAACAAAAATCTAATCAAGCTTTGGTATTTCACAGTAATTGAAAAGGCCCTGCTCTATGGCGCTAGTGTCTGGGGTGGGGCCCTCACCAAACAACAAGTTGATCGACTCCACTCGATACAACGAATCTTTTTACTCAAATTTACTCGGGCTTATAGAACTACATCAACAAATGTTCTAAACACCCTGGCTGGGATCCCCCCCTTGCACGTGGTCGCCAAAACCGAATTTATCAAGTTTCGGATCTCGTCTGGACACGCCAATCTTTATACTGACATCGTGGGCAACATACAACTGGACAAAAATATCTCAATTAAAAATATTCCATCCAGCAGCAAATTTGTTATCCTAAACGAAAATATTTCCAACGCAGATTTTGAGGTGTACACGGACGGGTCCAGGATCGAAGATGAGACTGGATTCGCCGTGTGCATCTTCCAAGAAAACAATAACATTGAAAATCACCTTTACAAACTTAAAAGTCACAATTCCGTTTTTCAAGCAGAGTTGGCCGCCATCCATTGCGCGGCCAACTAGGCTGCCAGCAAAAATGTATTCATCAATATTCATACTGACAGCCTCTCCTCAATATCCACCTTCAAGAGTGCCAGCGCCAGATCTTCTTTTGTAAATAACATAAAAGAAGATCTTGTAAAAATTAAACATTTGGTCGGCCTCTCCTGGGTCAAAGCCCACGTAGGAATCCAGGGGAACGAATTGGCCGACCAACAGGCAAAACTTGCGACCACCACGGGGGTTGACACAATTATCCCGGCTCCCCGTTCCTGTGTTAAAAGGTTACTCAATAAACTTATGATCAAAGAATGGAACGACTATTGGAGGCAATACAACTGTACCTCCGGAGCCAGAGTCAGGGAATATCTCGAACACGTAAGCCCGAAGTTTTTAATTCACAGCAAGTTTTTAATCTTTTTCTTAAGTGGACACGGACCATTTCCTTTTTATTTATATCGCTTTAAAATTCTAGACTCCCCTTTGTGCGTCTGTGGGCAGGTGGGCGATGCAGATCACTATACCTTTAGCTGCTCGCTCACCCAAAAATTTCATTTAGTTAAACCCGCAGACGCCCACAAAAGGGCCTGGTTCCAAAATCTCAGTAATAATTCCCAGGACCTTAATAAACTTAAAGAATCCTTCATGATCAGTGGGGACGGGTGCGATTCGTTGACCCAAGCTGTGTGATTTTCCCTTTTTTTGTTTTTTCGATCTTTTAAAGATGTGTTGATTTTTAAACCTTTTTCCTTTTATTTGGTGTTTGTCCGTTTTGTAATGGCTTTTTGGATCTTTTTGTTGTCTTGCGACTCTTGTTGTATTTGCATGTACATTTGATTTACCACTGTGGGTTTTTCCCTTATTGGGAGTGCTTCTGGAAGGAGTGGGTGAAGTACATCGGGAGTGTATACTCCTGGTAGTGTCACCCAAGGCGTGAAGGCCACTCCACTATTCTCAGTTACACTTAACTCCGCAGTGGTCTTGATCCTTCAGATATTCGTTGTTGGGTCGCTTTGTTTGTTAATTATATATTTTGACTTTTTGAGATCCTTTCTACATTTTTAACATTTGATATTTTTAACTCTATTTTAAGTACTTGACTTAAGTGGAATTTCACTTGCTTTAAGACCTGTTTTATTGCATTTTAACTGTATCGGTCACTTGGTGGTATTTTATGATGTCTTACACTTTTTATACTTCGTTTCATTTTCGGGCATTATTTTGCATGTACTCTTTGTTCCTCATCTCTTTATACTGGGTGGTATTGTGTATTGTTGTTGAATATTGTTGCTGAATATTTTATTGCAATATTTTACTGTTTTTAATGGTCTTTATATATTGTCTAATGCTCTCCCATCGCACGTTTATTCTGCAAACCTTTTAAACTTTTTAAACTTGTCTGTTTTTGTTAGATTTTGTTATCTTATTTTTAAAATATTTTAATAGAGACCTATTTAAATCTTTTTTGGCCCTAGTCGGTTTATGTGTCGTTGTTTTTTGTTTTTTTTTTTACTTTTACGAGG